TCGAAACTCGATAAAACCTCCGTATTCGCAGACTGCACTCGTTTATGCATGTAAATGAAAATGAATAAAAAAAGGAGAGAAAATTTAAACAAAGAAACAACGAAAAAAAAAAAATGTACATTTTGTGTAAAAAAATGTACAGTGTATAATAGATGTAAAGTATGCTTTACAAGTATGCCCCGGATATCTTTATCTCGAAGAAAGGTAAAGGTGCAATTAAAAAAATGTCCTGCCTTTCTTAAATTAATGATTCGTCACAACTGATATTACGCAACTCTCTTTTCCTCCTTTCTTTACATTTTTAACTAGCAGGTTCTTAGAAAGTGAAACCCTGAGAACATGGAGGTTTATGTGAACCTTAAGACTTTGTGATAGTATGTGCGTATATGTACATCGTATGAATATTTTAAGATAATCTTTTTAATAAATATGTTGATAATATAAAAGGGCATTGTGAACTAATTACAAACGTTAGAGAAATATAATATAATATATAATATAATAAAGTGGTTAGTAGTAATAGTAATAGTAATAATAATAATAATAATAATAATAATAATAATAATAATAAGAATAATATTACATCTCATAATAATAATAAAACATGATTGTACCGACAACATGCCCTTTGTAAGGTAACCCAAGAGTAGGAGGAACGTGTACAGATTAAAACTCGAACTTATTTAAATCTGACTAAGCATTTAGTACAACAGCGCTTTTCATTATATAAAATTCGAAGATATATTTCTAACAACCGATTCACTATCGACAGATCCGAGACTTCTCGATCGAAGTCTTTGACCGATTTTAGACTTTGATCCGCTAAATTTTGCGCATAATATACAGACTGTACATAAAATACACGCATTGGGGAATCCTGGGCAAAAGTTTCTCGACAAAAAGATTCTCGCTCCAATGAAGTTCATTGGCGTTATCTAGTGCATTAATTATGGCAAAATTGAATAAATTACAAAATATATCGAACGGTATTAATCTAGATTAATGAAGTTTAAATAAACAAAAATCAATAATTAATTAATTAATTAATTAATTTACGCTAACATGGCAGCGTTCTTATGAACAAAAATTACAAATCGTATCGGAAAAATTTCAACGGCTATCACATATCATATAACAAATTTATGATGTCTCCGTTAAAATCCATATTATACATTAAATTTAAGACGCAAGAAAAATTCACTATAATATCATTGTCCTTTGTAACAATAATTTAGTATTACATGATTTCCTTGCAACTATTTAATATACATTCAACAAATAGACGGTTAGACAGAGTAGCTATAAATCGGACATCGATAGACATCGATATTCAGGATACTTAAATTGCATTATAAGAAATTCTGAGATAAAACATCTATGCAAACACTATTTTAAACGGAATTTCTATTATTACTTCTGTATAAGCACGCTTCATTTTATAACACATAATTAAAAAATTTCTCGGCGTTGCTTTTAACAAGTAGATATTAAAAATTCGTGTTAAAAAGCGTTTGCATCTACAACAGCGTTCTTAGATACGTTCTTAAATTATATCAACATTCACATATTTTCTTCATGTATCTTTATCTTAAATACTCGTCTTTTTCAATCAATGAGATTAGATTTTTTTGAAAAAGCTGCCGAGAAGTTGAAATAATTTTCGAATGTACCGTGTGAACTTACTGATTCATCGACTAATGGTATTACGTGTACGAAATCAAAAATATACATTTCATGATATCTTGACGATATAAACGTAAGCGTTTAAAGGTTTAAAAAGATCCTTAACATTCTAAAGTTTAAATTATAAATCACATTATTCTTTCTTTTCTCATATCAGATACACGAAGGCTTTCGTGGAAGAGCACGTTTTGAATTTACTTGATATCTTTGCACTAAGGTTTTTAAAAAATCCTATCGTTGCTAAGACGAAGCACGTTTGATTCTCGAGGTAAACTAGTTGTTCATTCGCCTCCTTTAAAACTTTAACTTAGTACGATTTTACTAATAATTTTACTTTTTAATTTTTTAATAGAATTGGGCATATTTTTAATCTATGCGATGATCCCTGATTAGCAATCCCTGTAAGGGAATTTTTATATCAGCCAACTACATATATTCATATGTGATTCAATTGTAATGTTTTAAGACGGTGTAGAAGATAATCTTTGGTTACCCAAAAAAGTGCCTATTTAAATACAATCGTCGATTACTTAGTTCCTGTATGGCGAAAGCTGTCGTAACATGTTGTAATATATATTTTTTTTTTAAATCTTACATATCAATGACTAATTGGCCGCTTAAATTATATTTCCCATAGTTTGTAATTTTCCGCAACATTCATACTTCTTTGTATCTTTTTCTTTTTTTTTTTTTATTTTTTTTTTTTTAAAGTTCATTATATTTTCAATAAATCAATTACTAATTTAACCCTCTCATATAAAGATTCTGTAACAACGTGTTCTTACATCCTTTGTACTTGGTAATTTAAGTTTTAGAGTTTTAAGTTGAAAGACTCATATATAGAAAAAACAAAGTTCAACTAATATATTATTTTCTCGTCATAAATATTTAATATAAAAGAAAATTATTTCATTAAGTTTCAAAAAATTATAAATGATGATCAGAAACGAAAAGCTAATTATTATAAAAGAGAATGCAAATTAATCACGATTATAGTTATATATAAAATATATATTGCATGAATAGTATAAATAATAATAAATTAATCATTGATTAAAAATGATATAAAAGAAAAGATATTATTAATTATTTAACTATTAAACTTATTAATCTGTACAATAGTACACTAATAAATAATGCATGTAATAATTAATAATTCTTTACCTTAATGTCATACTTTTATGCAGTATGTATAACATACAGAATATAAAGAAAATTTTTTAAATCTATGAAATATATATATAAGTATAATTCATACTTGTATACATTATATATTAATTTAATTGACATAGTAATTGTTTTCAAATGGAATGTTTATAAAGTGAGGCGTTTCACACTTCACACATTTTAAATAAGTTATCTTTTTAAATGTACAATAAAATTTACATATGAGAGGGTTAAAATAGAATCAGCCCATCCGATTATACTTTGTTTTACTCGGATAGCCATTTCTATTGATACTTCTGCACTGTCATTATTCTTACTATTGAATCGTTTATTCACAGAGCAAAATACCAAGAAACAGAAATAAAAAATTTCTGTTCTTACATTTAGCCTTGAAAAAACTAGTCTTTCTTTACATATTCTCTAAACATACAGCCTAACATAAGAATAGAAATTTGAAATATTACATCGATGGAGATGATAGCAAAAAATAACCTTTAGTTATTTAAGCTAGAAATAGGCTATGTAAGAGATTGTTATGTATACTCGGGAAGAACATCAATCTGGTACATGATAATAGAGATCTAATCAGAATCTTCTTCTATGGTTGGAGGTAACATAGCAAGGTGTTGTGAACTAAGCATTCCCCTGGAAAGCGCGTACTCTGCTAGAGCACGATGACAGAATACATATTGGTCTGGCATTTGAATACTGTAGGCCCTCTGCGCTCGAATTTTTTCAACAGTTCCACGGATGTCTACAGTTCCGGTATCCTCTAGTCGCGATATGCAAATATCTAATGTGCAAAATGTTCCTATAAACATAACATATAAGCGTATAAATATTTTTATCATTTTTTGAAATTTTTTTATTTTTTGAAAACAAGATATATTATATGATTATTTATGTTCTTCATCAAAATACCTGTTCTTCCTATACCGGCACTGCAATGAACAACTATAGGAGGTCCTCGCGGATGTCCGGCCCATGTATCTCCTCTACTAGCAAGTAACTTAGTTTGTTGTTGTCTTACTAAGGCTAAAAATTGTAATAAAGCTCTAGCCGATTGTGGAACTCCATAATCCGGCCATGCCGTGTATAGCATATGGCAAACTTCTCTTGCCTCGTCAGTCTAAAATAAAAGCATGTTGTATTTATTGATTATAAGTTTATAAACATCGAGCGCTTTAGCTTTTATCCTTGAAACTTAAATCGAGCATACCTTTTTATTTGTAAGAAGAAGCATTGATATCGTATAATCTGGATTTGTATCAACTTCAAGGGTAGTTACTGTAAAACCACCTGCTTGTACTTCATCACCTGGTTCAGGACCCCAATATTGTGCACATTTCGTACGTCCTCTTTCCACCACTCTAAAAAATATATCAGAAATTATAAAAATTTTTCCTATTGTTGAATATTGTAACAACAATAAAATACATCGAAGAAAACGATTTACCTTGTGGTCATAACGACAACCAACGTTTGTTGTTCCCAAACCATTCTCCAAAAATCTCCACAAGTTTTTGGCAACGGACCTTGGGTACTAATAAACGCATTTTTCTGTTTGTAACCATCAACAAAATTAGCATTTATATAATCCGATGTAGCGTCTCCATCTATTTGCGATAGGCACACTCTACTGTGATCATAGCAAAGTACATCTGTATATCGATTTTTCGATTGATTCGATCTTAATCTGAAAGATATATTGAATTGTTTGTTAAAAAAAAAATTGATTGTATCTTTATAAAATATTCTTCTGTGTTTTATTTCTTAACGAACAATCATTATATACTTGGCATTATTGAAGGAACCTTCAGGCGGTCTTTGCCTAATTTCCGCATACTCTGCTATGAGTCCTGCGCGTCCTCTCGAATGTATCTCTTCGATGAGTTGTTCCATAGTAACGGCTTGAAGACCAAGATCTCCGTGAAGGCTGTCGTCGTCGCTAAAACCTGAACTAGCTGAGGACGGAGGCTGAACTGGAGATGGTGCCTCATCGGTTCCCATCCAGACATCACCATTCGTAATCTCAATATCTCCAATATTCGAGATACCATTTTTCACTTTGTTCTTATCAATTATAGGACTAGTTGAGCTACTGACTGTAGTTCCATTGGGATTTTGATGAACTGTTTGGTTTTTCGATGTGGGCGAAAGAGGAGTACCCACTCTGGGGGTAACCTAATATAAAAAATTTTATGTTATTATAGTTCTCTTTGATGATGCAATACATATAATATATATATATTGTATTATAGGATACTGACCTCGCAAAGTTCACCCCCGCCCCTGTTTGTCATGGATTTAAGACAATGAAGAAGCCATGCTTCATGCTGTATCTCCAATGTGCCTCCCAAACGATGCGGTAATGATTCCCGTGGGATATGTAATGTTAATTGAGGAATAGATACGGTGAATACTCTATCCCTTAATTTTTCGCGTACAAATAATCGAAGGATCTTGAAGGGAGCTTTGAACCACAACGGTGCCGTCACTATTAAGACTTTTTTTAATTTAGCTGGATAACCACCCTGAAATAAATACAATATCTTGTTAAATATATACATTCATAGAAATATCGTAATTCAATATTTATATAGAATCATAAAATATTACAAAATAAAAAAACCATATGGTTATCAATGAGTACATTACACGCAAGCACTACAATTATAAAAGATATAAAACAAGAATAATCGATGAATTTATAAGATGCGGTTTATTTTTATATGATGATTTTATATGTACACATATATATATACACTCACACAAACACACACATACACATATATATATATAAAGAAAAAAATTAAAAATGAAAGATAATAAAAAAAATTGGTTAAGATGATTGCATGATTTATTTTCGAAATGGAGCGACTTTCAAATTTGACCTTTGCAAGACGATGCAATAATAGAATGGTATATAAACCAAGAGGAACGTTTACTGCCAACTGCAAGCAATCTCTGAATATATGTTTAATACACAAAGGGATTTCGTTTTAAAGGAAAATTACAGAATTACGTAGTACAAGTTTCGATCCAATTTAACGTTAAACCGTTTCTTATAAGCTGCATATAAGTTGCGTCAAATGATTGCAGAATTAAATCAAATTAGAACAAGCAAATTGTTAGTACGTGATCAATGAATATCAGAGCTCAATGGGAATGTGCAATATGCAAAAAATGTTTCTCTAAAAATGCAAGAAATACGATAATTTAATCCTCGGTGTTCTTTGTAATGTATATAGAGGGCGGAAGTACTGTAACGACGTCAGCAGCACCACTACTACATCTTTGAGATGTTAAGCGCATAAACCCTATTACATCGAAACCCCGCGAAAACACGAAGAAAAAGAATGTACAATTTGAAATCATTTCGAATTCATTATAAATTATCTTCACAAGATATTAAAATATTTATCATTAAGATATTTTATCATTAAATATCATATCAGATTAGATCAGGATTAATAGAATTACAAGGATATATTTGGTTAATAAATAGACTTCGGATAACCAATCAATAAATTAGAATTTTCATTTACCGTATGTTGAGAAAAGATGCACGACAAGCAAATATTTTATCGGGCATTGATGACACGAGCTCGTTAAACGATCAAACGATGGAATATAGAACATAAATTATCTTGTAAACGAAATAAATGCCGATGTAATGATAAATCGAGAACATTCGATCAACTTGAAATTTGATTAATCACTAGGACATATCCAGCGTCGTCGAATCGATGAAATCGAAATCACTGCCGACACTCGGTCAGTCAATCGATAGCATGAAATTAGAATAACCGTTTTCTACTTCGGTTTGAGGAACACAACACAACTAATTTCAATTATTTCGACGACATTTCGTGTTGGAAAAGATAGATATAATTCGAACGGAACGTCACAACGAAAGTTAAAAGAAATTATAATGACCCGACAGCGGAATCAGGTTGTAACTTCTTCCGATCTGTGCACGATAATACCGCAAAGGGGTCACGATGATTACTGACCACGAGCGTCGCGACGTTATCCCGCGTATACGCGCATGCGCGCCAACGACCCCTTCTTTTTACCACCGTTCTAGCATCCCTTACGCGAATTTCTTTTCCCCTCGGCAAAGGTGCGATCCTACATGTGATGACGTATTACGTCAGTGCTTCTCAACCTGGGGATCCGGATGTGTTTCATTTGCGTTCAGTATTTCGACAGCGGTCAGGATTAATTGAAATAGATACAACATATGTGAGCTATGTTGCGTATACCGGGGTTATCAACCTCTAATAATTTGTTAAAACTATAACGTTTTAGAATATTTTTAACTCAAAAATTTGGCTACGTAAACAAAATGTTCGCGTACCTCATCGCATACCTCATTCTCGTTTTTAATCCAATTGCCGTTTACAACGGAGAAACGAAATCGGAACGGGCGTCGTTGACACCATTTCCATCGCAATTCGAACGTAACTTAGCAAAACGACTGACAAGACGAAAATTTGATTGGAAAAATTCCAGTTCCAGCAATTGCACGCTATAAACAGGTATAATAGAGCAGAAAAATGAAAGATTATTGCCAATGTTAGTCGAATAGAAAGCTGATATCATTTCTTTTTTACATAGGTTCGCAATATAGGTTATGCGTTTTAGAATAGAACTCCTAGCTTTATCTCCTATTCCTACTAATAACCGACCAAATAGAAGATTATTTTTATCTCGTATTCAGTGACGTAAAAATGTTGTTAGAAATAATTTTCATAAATATTCTATAACTGCGTCATCCCGTCGAAACCTTTGAAAATCCCTTGTTCCGCTCGCAATGTGCGGCTCACTGAGCAATTGCAAGTGGGTTTTCGTGAAGCGTTAACAACCCCTTAAGCTTCCCTATTCTTTGAGATGCACCCTTCTCTATATACACTCTACTGCCAGACGCTTGAAAATTACTTATGTGCTTATTGCTCAATATTATATAATCGGAATTTTAAGCCATATATTTTATCATATTGTCAAAATTAAAAAAAAAAAAAGAAAATCAACATTTAACGAAAATCCAACTATATTTAAAGTATGTATACTATGTATATTTTTAATAGTGTAACGTTACACATTTGTCTATACTGCACTAATCTTTTTGCAGAATGACAACACGCGTATATTACGCGATCTGATTTCGTCCGTGGTACGAATAAAAGCCAAAGATGTTGATTAAATTTCCTGTGTAAAGATAATGGCCTACATTCGAAACTATCCGTTCCTACTAACAAAGCTCTTTGTTTCTCGGATCTCTGTCAACTCTAATCATGTAGATTTGTGAATGACAAAGGTAAATATCGAGAATGGTAAATTTGTGTCGCGGGAGTATAAAGTTTCTGACAAATGTAACATATTTATTTATTCAAAATTTAACATGTGTGTTTATAATATCTGACTTAAATTTAATGAATGTTTCATTATTTTAATATTATTTTCTCTCGTTCCGAAAATTAAATGAATTAATATATAATATACAAATTGTATCTAAAAAATTGCTCACATGTAACACTTACCTTTAGGAGGGTGAGAATCTTTTGGGATAGATCATAATCGAAATTCTGATATTTGCTATCCGACATGTCATAAATAAAAACCAGACCGTGTTTTTGAGTTTCTACACTTTCTAGAGCTGCGTCTAATTGATATACAACGCCCTGTAATGACACAGATAAAATTCCATTATTGGAAGGAATATGCTTAATTAAAAGAAATATCATATCTTATTATGATTAATAAGAGTCTTTTTTTATTTTTTCTTTTTAATAATTTATTGATTATAATGAATATGTTATATATATTTAGTAATTATAGAATGTCATGATATAGAAAATACGTATACAGAAATAGATATACTAACTTGTAACGTTGTTTGATGAGTGGTATTTTGTGGAAGGTGTAAATGTGCTGTAAAAATAGCTATGGCTGCCCCTGTAGCATCCCGTGAAGGCTAGAATATTTTTTATGAATGATCACGAACACTTCATTAACGCAAGACCATTGGTATTTTCATTATTAATTAAATAACTTACTAAAACTGTAAATTTTCCTGTGCGTAATTCAGTGAGCAAAGGTTCCTGAGTAGGATATAAAAGTGCAAGACCCTCTCTTCTTCTGGTGGCTTCATGCTGTTCATATAGCGCTAGTGCTCTTGCGACTTCAAATTTCCTTGCTGTCAAAAATTTTACAGCTGTACTCCATGATACTGGACCAGCTCTCCTTCCAGCCCGACATTTATTAACTGCTTCTATAAATTCTTTCGTAGCCTGAAAATATTATATTTGTTAAATCTAATTGCAAAAATCTATTGCACGACATAAAATTTGATAATGTTTTTTCGAAATCGTAAATTGCTTTTTCTTTTTTAATTTTTTTGCACGTTCCAATGAGAAACTATTAATATGAGTAAAACCACAATAAAATGAAAATGACCATTCGATTAATTTAAAAAAACATTCGATATAATATATATATATATATATATATTATATATTTATCGAAACGTGTAACAGTCATTCGTCAATGATTTGTGTACATGCCCTGGGTACCGATATAACTTCCGGTGCCCGACTACCTACCCACCGGCAACTTCCGCCATAGTACGCTTGTCGGGGACCGGTGCGGTAAATGGATAGGTTCGTTCCAGGGTCAAGAAATTTAATATCATGAATCAATACTTCAATAAAATTTCATTAAGTAATAATTTAAAAATAACTCAATTATTAATGTTTCGTCATATTTCTTCCACGTATTTTGCTTGCTTCTTTCTTTTTAAAACAAGAAAAATATTTTTTTTCTTTACATTACGATCTTTAAAAGTTATAAAAATTGTTTATTTATTAACCGCATATCATTCAATGTTAAATATCATAGTGTATAAAATTTTTGTACAAAAATTACTTAAAATCTTGAATTATTCATGTAGAGTAAAATAATACACTCATTCAAAAAGTATAATTAACAAATGAATAAAGCATCGGTCTTGCGATGACAATATCTAGTTGCACAAACATTGATGATTAAGGCTTAATACGCTCACGCGAATCTATCTATCTTGCTCATTTAACGCAAATAACGTTGAATAGGATAATCATTGTTGAAACTCAATGAGAAATATTCTTGCTGATTTATCGAATAAGAATACATTTATCCTCTTGTCATTTCCGTTGAAATTCGTTGAAAAGATTGAAAGGATAAGAGATAGAGAAAATGAGAATGAATGTTTATATTACGCGCTTGTAAACATGTATATGATATGGAGATTGAAGCAAAAGGGAAATCGTAATCGATTGTTTCGCGACGTTGGGAATATCAATTAAAACAATTTTCTGAGAGAAATATATTCCGATTAAAAGATGGATCAAATCGCTTACCTGTTCTTGCTCGACAGTTAACGTGGCTGCCATTTTGACTTAACACATTGACATAACTGAGGAATGAGCACTAGCACGTACTTATTTTCGATTTTAGCCTAACAATCCCCTGTGTATAGCTACACATTTTGTTTTTGCACTAAACGCACAACACTATCTTTATAATTGACTGGTCAAAACAACGATAAAAATAAATGGATCGGTCCGGTACTTGTTCATTGTCCGACGCTTGACGTAGCTATAGCAAACCCGCTCTGAACCGTTCAGACGCTCGATCGTCTTTCTCTCCACAAGTTGAGCGCCATCTTGAAAGCGTGAGTGTGTAAGCGACACTGTACCACACTATACATTAACTATAGATTTGTACCATACTTTATCGGTAAGTCTATCCTTCTCACGCCGGATATGCTATCATTAGGATCGAGTATAGCTCAACGTCAAAAGTCTCTTCGAGTCTTATAGGATTTCGTGCAAATTCAACGCCGGAAACAAGCCAGGTGTGTTTTGGAACGGAAGCAGAATCGTTGTTAGTATATTATAATCTGAACACGTATTGGTACGTGTTTCAATGCGCGCGCTCAAATACCAGGCACGTATATATTAATATGCTTTCAAAGAGTTGTAGCAAAGTTTATGCCAATACTTTTGAAATTCCTTTGTAAAATTGTATAGTAGTAGAATATTCATTATCTTTCTCCAGGAAAACTGTAATGCTTTATCGAACTCTGACAATAAAGCGAAATAATATATTTGATCAACAAAGTCTTTTTATTATCAAAAGAATGGTTCATCCGTTATGTAGATTACAAGGATTTAATGCTTAATAATTTGGCTATTAGAGTAATTGTTAATTCAAAATTTCTTAATTATTCAATAAAAATCTAATTTAAATTATTGAATTACAATTTAATTTAAAGAAATCAGAAAATGTCAAAAAGATAATAATTATTTTAACATAGATATTACGTTGATTTCACCGGAGAAATCGCTGTCGAGTCTTTGCCAATAAGCAACAAGTTATCGTGACTGGTAGATGCAACAAGTTTTGTAATAAGATCAAGTTTCAAACGTTTATTCAAACTTGGAAAAACGAAGCCACATATTATAGATTTGATTGATAACACGGGAAGTAAAAGTTATAACCAATAAATATACGCACTGTTTTTTTTTGTAATATAAACATTTTTCTTATTCAAACGTATGTTCTTACATTTACACAGTACAAAAAATTATACTCAGACCTGCCGGCCCGCGGTTCATAATTGCTATGACTGGGGGCGACCGGTGGTGGGGTAGTGTAGGACTTTGGGGGTGGATATTTTATAGGAGTTTAAAGGGCTGTACAATTGTCTCATCCATTCCACTCCGCCCCCAATACACGGCCCCTTCTTTCTTTCTCTCTCTCTCGCTCGCTCACTCTCTCGAGCATTCTTCCGAAATTTCGCTCAAAAAAACGTACACGCATTCATATAACACACAAACAATCTGTCGAATAATTCTCATTTATACACTAGACGCTCGTAGTCGTGTTTTTTTCGCCACGTATTAGCAACATTTAAATATCGGTATTTTTCGTAATAATTAATCGTAATAATGATAATCATAATCATAATAATTAATAATAATAATAATAATAATAATAATGGTATAATAAACTATCTACCTACGTCTGTAAAGTGTATTTTTTTTATCCATATTCATGGAGTGTGTATCTCTTAAGTCTAATTTTTTCGTATTTATATATGTATATGTATACATATAAGTATGTATAAATGTATTTACATACACGTAGCAAGAGAACGAATAATAGCTTTGTTGCAGCAATAATACACAGAGTATGTTTTTTTTTTCTTTTTCTCTATAACTTTATACATCGTCGGTATCATCTCAATTATCAATTACCATTATCGTCGTTTGTGAATAATAAGGGTATTTTTTTTTTTGTTATAATTTCCGTAATATTAACGTTACTTATCGACACTAAGATATTTAAAAATTTACTCGTTAAATATTATTTTAATCAAGTCGTTGTATGCTAGACGAATGTTGAGATCAAAGAAATTGCGGATTTCAGGATTCCAGTGATTTGTTTTTCCTTGTTCTTCGTTTGTTGTTGCTTACATATCGGTCTCAAGATTACTAGCCGTAGTGAATATCAGACGATCGATAAGCGCACCAAGGGCGCGAAACGCTAAATTGCATGCGTCTGTCCTCGAAAGCTGTTGCCTTCCTCTTCTCTTTTTTTCTACCTTATTCTTTTTCTTTTTCTTCCTTGTTTTTTTTTTTTTCCTTTTTCCGTTTATCATTGAAATTACGACTGGTTCATAAACATACAACTATGATGGTATTTTTTTTTTAGTTGTGAATATGTGAGAAACGTCATTGTGAAACATACAATGGACGAGGACGGTAATGGCTTTCAAGAATTCAGACATCGCGCAACATACCGTGAATAGCAGCGGTTTGTTCTATATGAGGAAAGTTAAATGATAGGAACTCGGCCTCTCATCTGTGAATTCTGCATGACTAATCTGTGTTCTTTCGTCCATCTCTTTTCTTTGTTTCTTTTTTCTTTCTTGTCTACCTATACACAAACGTGTAAACACGCGAAAATGTCCACGTCGTTCAACATTGGCACTTCAAAAATCGTTACAGCTTTATTACTTTGCATTAAATAATGTTACCATAATTATCGATATTAATTACAAATACAATTAGAATATCGCTGCTGCTCTATTGGATAGACGGTTCGCGTGATTCGACAAAAATAACAGTTTCTTATTTTTTTTCTTTTTTTTTTCTTTTTTTTAATTATTCTTTTCACTTTTCTGTCTTTTACTTTGTTCCTCTCTTACTCATTACTCTTACTGGGTTATCACTGGGCCACACAACGTTAATCCAATCTATAAAAAACATTAAATTCAATAGATTTTGACAATCTATATTCCTATAATCGATCTTTTATCCCATGAAGATAATATATCGAAATATTTGTTTACAACTATTGTTATTTTTGTTCTGATGCCGTAATTTAAACGACAATGATCATACAAACCTTCGAACAAACTTTGCTCGGTATAGCCGATATATTTTTCAAAGAAGAAAGACAAATCGAAGAAACGTATATATATATGTATGTATATATATATATATATTCGAGGAAGCCGAACTGCGGTTATCACGTATATTGCATTAATGTACTTTACGCGCAAAGATCCAGTCACCTTATCCGTTAAACTGGACCGATGTGAACAGCTTAGGCAGTGTTTTCCTCTTATGCTCATTGCCGCGCTGAACACAAGAACGTAGCAAGAAAATATATATCGGCCATTTAGCAAACGGCTTGTTTGTTTTTTAATTAAATCGATACCAAAAAAGCACCAGATCACGAGAGCACGTAACGCGGATCGACAAGTATCACTGATCCAACTAACAATTTAATCGACATCTAATTGCACAAAGGTACCTCTAGACGATCCTTTCAATAGTTGCTAGTAAGAATTCATTACACAGTAATCCATTATCTACATTTATATAATATAGACAGTATGTATTGAATACAGGCACGATATAAGTAATTACAAATAATGTATGATCCAAAGTTCTCCTCCTGGTATCACAATGATAATGGACGCAGTGCGCGTTTAGCGTCATCAATTCTCCATAAATCCTCAATAAGAAAAAAAAAAAAAAAAAAACTAACGCAGACTTCATGTCGGCGAGCACACGTTGCTCGAGAGAAAGAAAAACTATACGCAAAAGGAAATTGAAATGAAACAACGGATAATCTCATTGGCTCAGCCAATACCAAAAAATCAAACGTTTCGAGTTACTCGTCAAATATCACAACAAATTCTTGCACCTCGATACAGGTTCCGGAGCATCTTAAGATTAAATCCATCCTGTCGTTTCGAATCGATCCCGACATATGGTACTCGGGAAAGCGATATACGACCAGGTAACAGATTGGGCACTCACTGATATAGCGAGACTTTAGTCAAAGAAAGATCAACGGTTCTTGCGACCGCGATAGGGGGCCTAGGGCTACGTCTCCTCCTTTTTTATCTCGTTATTCGACTTCAACTTGTTAAGAGTTTCTTCCTTCACGTTGCTCAATACGGCCAAAGAATCTTTCACGGCATGATAAATTATATTCTTGATCTGCAATTTGTCTTCGTGATTCGTGTGCGTGTCGGATAATGCACGGAACTCTTGCGTTAGATGGAAGCAATGCGACACATTTTCTGGAGATACGAAATCTTCGGCTACCTTTATACAATTGTGAAGATTACGGACTTGATGTGGCGCACCAGCTGGCACGAATACTGCATCGCCTAGGCACTGTACAATAGCATATCTGCAACAAATAAAAAAAGAAATATATGTATTTTTATTTCTACAAAAGAATTTCAAAAACATGCGAAATAAGAAATGTAAAAGGAAATATATAAAACTTACCCTTCGACGCCGTATTCGCGGTACAACCGTTCTCGCAAAGGTCCATCGAGATAACAACTTTGATCATGGATTGGATCGTGATGAGGTTCCAAACGAGCTCCACGTTCCAAAGCAACAGCGTTCAACAGATCTCTGATTTTATCAGCATCTCGAGCTGCATAAATGTGCCACAACGCACCCGGTGCTTCTCCCCGTTCGCGAACACGTCGGCGTGTCAAGATATCACAGCCGGCTTCATCTATTGCTCGTAATGCTTCTGTAATACGTAAATACATTCGTTTAAAAAAGTTTTCGAAATGAAAAATTTACACTACAAATCAGAAAAAAATATATATGATACAATGATAAATACCTTTGACGTGTTCGTCGTTATCGGCATCTTTTGGGATACCCACGTAAACCATGACATTAACTGCATCAGAAATATCTAGATGTAGATTAGTGGTGCCTTTGTTTGGATGAAGAGCCGATCCATAAGCATTGTACATTTTGGGCCCTAAATCTGGTCTCACGAAACAGTCGGGTAAACGACTGGCCAAATTCAGTCTTCCGTTTCGATGGGTGTACTCCGACAACGGCAGAACTTTCATCAAATCCGCGAATCTCGATGGCAACAGTTCCGCAAAATCTTCACCAGGAGGCCAGTCCTTTAATTTTAACAACATCGGATTTCCTCTCTCGTCCTTTAACCTCTTCGAGAAATGTTCAAATCCTTCCCAGAATTTACGCATCGGTTGATTCGGCACCAAATTTCCGGTCATGCAATTTATCAAATCGTTCTTCTCGTCGCCAAAGTCTCTGGCGAACGAGTCTGGATGCCAGAGACTCATGTCTAACAACTTTGCAACATCTGACACGATGACCGGTTGCCCACGTTTCCATTGATCTTGAAATATTCTGTAATTGTTTGGATTGTTCGGATCGTTTAACCTGAGCAATTTTCCATCACAGAGCCAAGAATGTGGTACATCCGGGTAAAGACTCTTGCTTTCCGTGAGCGTCATGATCCGGATGGGCAATGGTTCTCTTCCCTTCTGTGTCCATTTGTATCTTCTGACGAAATGCTTAAGCTCTCTCGGTTTCTCATCGTCCAGCTCATCCTCTCTCTCCTTCTTCACACTGTGCTCTATGACGCTGGATATGACTTCGTCCAATGTGTCCATTTTCGACTTTTTCCCAGACTTTGTGACGTTGTTTTGGGCATTGTTTCCGGAGGTAACGTTAACATTACCGGAATTATTGGTCGGTGAATTTGATCTGGAACCACTACCATTTGATTTGTGGGACGGTCGGATAAGCAATTCTCTCAATGTCGAATAATTACCATCCCGATCTTCATCGGAATCTGAACTAGAAGCACTTTCGTTTTTATCTTGATTCTGTAAAGCTACATCTGCCAGCCAGTTCAACGGCGAATTTTTATCTTCTCCATTCGTTTTATTCTCCGATGATCCATTCGACTCGTTTACTTTCTTTTCTTCTTTAATTTCCTGCTTAACGTTACCGTTCAAAACCGGCACCGAATCGCCTTTTATCATGTTTCGCAAATATTCATTGGCAGGAGTTTGAACGACCAGCGAACAACCACAATGTTGGGGTATTCCCCATTCAGCACGGCATTCGTGCAATCGTTGACCAAGACGTATCAGGCTGTCGCCAGCAATAATTTGTGTAAGCATAAGTCGCTCAGGTTCGTGCACTTGTCTATTTGTACATAAAAGCCATGAAAAATCGTCTCTATCCTTTCCGCTTTCTCCCCATATCTTGATCGTTCCATTCTTGCGTCCCTAATAATATTTAAATCGTTTTGTTAAATCTTTGTGAATAAAGGTATAAATTTTTATATTCAAAATGATTGCGGTATTTTATCAGTGTTAAAAAGCTCGATATTTTACAATTGTACATATCACGTGAATTTCAAAGAATTATTTATCATCATATTATATTAATTATATTACGAAATGAGTAAATTTATGAAAAATATAAGAGATATTCTTACTTTGTAACAATCGATGCACACGACGAAGCCACATTTTCCGCAAGCCCAGTGGTAATTAAACAAGGTCGTTTCACAGACGTCGCACATCTCCCGGACACCTTGGACCACTCTCTTCCAAGCGACTGTTCCGTCTACAAGTCCCGAACTTGCTGTCAAGGTGAAGAAACAATCGATACGCAAAGCGTTAAATCATGCGAACAAAGGAAATAAACCAAAAGCAACTTCGTTTACGTTTAATTACATGCTTATATATAAGTTTCGAAATAAATATTAATATTGAACGGAATAATTTAATATACACAAAAGCAAGAGAAACGATGTACGAATGTAGATTACATGCTGCTAAAATCGACTTATATTTATTCTTTTCATTTTCTTTCTTTCTTTTTTCCTTTTTTGAACTTATTCTCGTTAAAATTTTGCACATAAATTTTATAACGTACAACACATAACTCATTTAACATCGATATGAAAACATGCGTGAAAATGTATATAAACATAGATCTTTAAAACGATTTTTATTTTATTACTTTAACATGATCAAATAATTATCTCCTAGAAGTTTCCAAATTCAATTCTAAAATAAAATTTACCTTCTGCCATGTGTTGTTGAAGAGCATCCTTTTCTTGATGCAAAAGATCACAAAACTGATCTCCAACTTGACGAAGTAATCTGTGAGCCATTTCCAAATCTAGATCTTCTTTGTCTCCTTTCTCTTTGTCGTTCTTGTCAGGCTTTTCGTCTTTCTTGCTATCCGAACTTTCTTTTCCTGGTAACCATAATCGAAGATCTACCTATAACATGAAAAAGGCGAATATTAGAAATATGTTGAAGTTGAAAGGCGATAATTAGAAATATCTTGGAATATTTACCTCAGATGCATCTTTGTGAGGATCGCTAAATCCTGCTATCGCCAATTGTCCGTTTTTCGTGTACCGTAATCTACGGAATGCATAAAATCTGCAGAAAATATTTTGAGGAAGATTTTTGGAGCGCTGGTGCGGTGTCCATCTGCACTCACGACATTTAGCCAATTTTGGAGCTACTTCGAAACAAGCGCCGTCTTGCAGCCAACTATCACCAGTTTTTTTCAATTGCGATATCGGTGGTCTACGAAAGGGATCACCTCTACCACCACTTCCACCTGGCCCACTGTTACCACCGCTCGCACTATCGTCTCTACGTTCTTTCTTTTGACGAGGTTGCTGATCTTCTCCACCTAGTTCATTACCTTTCGTAGTCTTTGGTCTTCTACCTCGTTTCCTGGGTTCCTTATTATTTCCTGTCGAACAAACAATTCGATATTTTTAAAAATCGTAAAAACATTTATTTAAAACCAATTATACAGTTAGTAACATAACTCAGTGTTAAAAAGCTCGTTATATTATCGATATCTCATAGACACATGTCAATCTTTGAATTGATCTCACATCATCTTTCTTTTTTTGTTCTTTTTACTTTTTTTTTTTTTCTTCGTAATAAATTGCGTCAAACTACATGAAAGAAGAGAACTTGTACACTTTATTCAACATCGAGACAGGGTAAGTGTGCGAGACGGGATTTATAAGAGCTTAGAGAAACCTAAAGAGTATCAGGAAGTTTAGAAAGTAAGTGGACATTTATAGAAACAATTTTAGATTAAACAGAAGTACATAACCTTTTGAGAATATACTCCTGAATTTCTCGGGTTCCCACATAGCTCTATAGAGACGAGTAAGTGTATAATCATGGAACGCGGATCACTTACCCTGCAAGTGAATAGTTAGTTCACCTGATGGGAAGTCCATTTACAAGAAGCTACGTCAACTAACCGTTTCCCGAGGAATTGTTGGAATTGGCCGTGGTATGTCGCACCCTCGATGTAGGTTGAATGGAACCCAACTGTTCACTTGTATCACTGGCAGAACCAGCTTCGCTCTCGTTACTAGATTCACTGCCTACACCAGCTCCTCCGCCTTGTTTATCTTCTTTTCGCCTCCGCTGATCTTCCGCGGTCGTTTGCTGCCTCCGTGCTGCGCCCTTCTTTCGTTTTACCTACCACAGGGCACAGATTATTAAGTAGTCAGGAAGTTCATGCTCTTGTCGAAACTACTGCCAAAAACTACAAAACTAATATAATACACACGCGTGCGTGAAAACGCGCACACATCCTCGATATTGAAATTATATCATTCGTGGTTATGGATTCCTAATAAAAGCAAATCAATTTTACGTCGAACATGCAATGATTCGAACGATTTCACAACGCATTAATAAAAAGAACCAAAAAAGAAAGAAAAAATTAACGATTACATTCTTTTCTTTTTCATAAATCGTAAAGTCATTTGTTGTTCATCGAAGATTGAACAAATTTGAAAGAATTTAAACATTCGTTTTTGTATATATATATATATATAAAAAGTAAGGTTAAGTTTTCTTATTTACGAACTACGCATCGAGATAAACTTAACACTTTACCACTCTTGTCCATTGAGAATTATTCATTTCGAATAATCGATGATTGTACTTTAGACACATATATACGTATTAAAGTAGAAACACTTGTATGAAAATAATATACGAGTCAAGTTGCTTTCCTACTTGTGGCTTATGTTTGCAGATAATGTTATCAAAATGGCGCCGACAGAGGCGGGATATTCAAATATAAGAACGTTTGAATAGTAAACTCGTATAAGTATTAAATATTATTTTTTTATAATTTTTTTTTTATTCTACTAACAATAAATAATAAATAAAATTTTAATCGATTGTTCGTTATTCGATCATGCTATTATTCATTATTCGTTATTCGTCATTCGTTTTGTTTATTTGATTTATATTTAAAGTTTACTTTAAGGAAAACAAATGACAGTTGATACTTCATAGTAGAGATGTTAAAATGTAGTTAAAACGATGAAAATCTAACGCGACGTTTAAAATTTATTATAACTTATTTCCGTAATTATAATATAGTAAAATACGATACATTTTTATACATTAATACTAACTAAAAATATAATTTTTGCATATATAAATCTATATGATTATAAAAAGTTATAATTTCTTTGTGATTTTTAAAGACTTAATCAAAAAAAGAAGAAGAAAAATGAAATTTTTGTCATTACAAGATCTACGTATGAATGACGAATAATTCGAAAAACAAAAAAATCGTTAAAATCGTTAAAAATAAATTAATTTTAATTATATCTAGTTTATATAAATTGAATTTACTTTATTGTTTTCTATCTTATTTGTTATTCAAAATAATTTTTACCTAATATTAATATAATTTTTTTTTACTGCATACGTATTATATTATGGTTACGTACATGCTTAATTATGTAGTACTGATAAAATACTGATAAAATCGTTATTAATAATGCAATAATAAATCTACATACAATCAAAATAAATAAATAAATAAAAAACAATACCTTTTTATAACGGTTCATCACAATTTTTCAAATACTTATGTTAATTTGATGAAAAATTTTTTCAACGAAAGTTATTCAATATTTCAATGATAATAGAAATACAATTAGCAAAAATTTTTTAAAAAAACTTTACATTCAATAAAAGTGGAAGTTATATTGATTATCTTAAGTAACTTGATAAGCATTATACCTGCTGAAGTAACGAATTCAATGATTTATTATACAATGATTCTCATTTTAGAAATCTATAATAATTTAATGAAAAAAACAAGTTTCCTTATTCATATTCATACGTAAATAAAATATATATACAATTTATCGTGAATGAGCTGTCTATTTAAATGTAAACAGTACATATACTTATTCTAGATTCTACTAATCTCATTTATGGTATACATTAGAACAGTGTAACAATAATATTGATAATAATAATAAATTTGAATTTTTTTTCCATTTATTATAAATTGCCGCCAAACTACCGAATAATTTTTATTCAAAATATATTTTTTCTTTATGTCAAATTAACGCAAATATCTGAAAAATCATGATGACTTTAAACACGTAAGATAAAGTGTGCGATTATACTCGGAACACGATCTACCTATTGCAGAGAGCATGCAAGATGATATAATAGGCGAGAATAATAAGACAACAGATTTTCCAAACGATGGATGGGAAGCATTCGCGGCCAGAGGAAGAGGAAGAGGAATAAACACGATAGATACGATCCATATAGATACCTTGGGTGGCTTCCTTTTGGGCGGCGACTTCCGTTCCGGGTCGCTGCTAGAAGAATCTTCTTGTAACGTTTTCGTGTCCGTCGCGTGCCCGTTTAACGATTCTTTGTTCGCCGATTTACGGCTGCTTTTCGCGGTAACTTTGCTCTTGTTTATACTGTTCACCGCCATGCTGCCGATATTGTGTATGGAATTGACGGCGCTGGGCAAACAGGTGGTGGTCGTGTTGCCGGAAACGTTCGAGGTGTCGCGCTCTTTGCTGTTCAACGGCTGCGAGGGCGCTTGGGAGATATTCATGGGCAAGGTGACGCACGATCCGCTGCCCACAACCCCGGTCGTGTCCTCGGTCCCGTCCTCGCCGGAATGCCTTTGCAGCCAGGCCTTCTTCAACTTGTGAACCGGGTAACTGGTGCTGCTCGGCGGCCTCGGGGCAGGGCTGTTCGATTTCTCGCTGTCGACCGTGCCGCCGCTTGGGTTGGCTTTGGCAGGCGTGCCAGGCGCGCTGGGCGCCGGACTCGGCGCCGTAGAGGGCGCTGGGCTGGGTATGGGCGCGGGGCTAGGCGCCGCGCTGACCGTTGGATTCAAGGAGCTGACGCTCCCCGCGCTGGCCGGTCTCACGGATCCATCCCCGCTCGCCGTTCGAGGAGTTGGGCTGACCGCCGCCACGGTGCGCTCCTGTTGCCCCGTCGTTTGGCTGTTGGACTGGGCCAACAGCGCCACCGTCGTGTTGACCACGGTCGTGATCGAGGTGGCGGCCGAGGCGATCAACGGGCTCGGCTCGCTCGCTCTCGACAGCACAGGCGGGCCTACGCATTGAAGGGACAACGGCTGCGGTTCCTCGGTCCTCCGTTTCTTGCACACCTCCAGGGAGACCGGTTGGCCGGAATTCTCGGTCAACGAGGGGGTCGGCGCTTTCCTCTTGGGCGAGCCCGATCTCTCGATCCCGAGATCGAGCGGTTGCGTCTGGAAGGAGGCGTTCAACTGCGGCTGCGCGTGCTGCACCGTCTGGCCCCCGGGCTGTTGGTGGGGGCTCGTGTGATGGGCGGGATGCGCGATGGGCCTGGAGAGCGGCGCCGAAGCAGCGGTCGGCGGGGAGCCGTGGAGGGGGGGCGGCGGCAGTTTGGCGGCCGGCATCGAGCTCGTGTATCCCCTCGAGTCGTAGATGGACCTGCTGTGCGCGGGCGGTGGCAGGGGTGGAGGCGGGGCCCCGTGGTGATGAGGCACTTGCTGGTAAGGCGAGCTACCGGCCTTCGAGGTGAGAGGTATCGGGGCGGCGACCGCCGGCTCGGAGGCCCTGCACACCGGGGTCCCGGTCATGATCCCGGAATTCGGTTTCCCGTAGATGTGTGGCGGCGCCGGGCTGCTGACTTTCGGCTTCGAGCCGGCCGGCGTGGCGTAATGCGAGGTCGGCGATGCCGTGGGCGGATGCGGATGCGGGTACGGATACGAGGACTTGGCAGTAGCGTAGGGCAGGCCAGGCTCGGGCCTGGTCAGATAACGGGGCTCGGGCGGCGACGGGTGCGGCGGCTGATGGGGATGCTGGGCGTGGGGCGACTGCCGATTGTGCGAGTGCGGTGGATGCCCGTGGGGGCTGGGTAACTGGGTGGTGGTCGTGGACCCGCTGCTACTGCTTCTGTGATGACTTTGAGGTATGCTCTTCGCTGTCTGCAGACCGTCCAGGTGGTGCAGGTGGTGGGGGCTCTGCGTCGGGCTCCTGTACTCGTACGGTTTGTGTTGCGGTGGCACGGACTGCACGTTCAGATACGGCATGATCTTCGGGCTCGACGAGTGTTGCTGAGTCGCGGCCACCTTCGGCAACTCCCTACCCTCGTTCTTCACTATCACCGAGCTCTTGTGATCGGGCAACAGGGACGGAGGATTCTGCAGAACTTCCCGCCCGTGGTGATCCCTCTCGAGGCCCCCGGCCAGCCCGCTCTTGCTCGGCAACGACTTGTGCGGTTGTCCCACCACCTCGGCGCTCTTCACCTTGATGTCGTGCATGTACGACGACTGCGGCTGATACGTCGAGTAACTGAACAGGCCAACGTTCGGCTCCACCTTGGGCAGGGAGCTGTGCGAGGGGCCGACCACCGGCGGTGGTTTCTCGTGGAGGCTGGTGACGGGAAGCGAGGACTTGGAGGTTCTCGAGTGCGCTGGCGGCGGTGGGTAATCGACTTTGCCGGGCACGCTCGAGGGTCGAGACACCTGGGGGGGGGGGGGGCGCGAAAAAAAGAGGTTAATAAAACATCCTCGAGAATTCTCGTGGCGAAAAGAAAGGAGACGTTATCGCGATTGATACCTGTTGAGCCGGAGGCGCAGTGGCCGCGTAATAGGCGGCCCTTTGTTGAGCGGCGACGTGATCCCTGGCCTCGGCCTGCCTGTGCAACCTCTCGGCCGCGACCAGGTGGTGCTCCCTCATCCCGAGATTCTCCGTCTCCCGTTGCCGTTGCTCCCTCGCGTCCCGCTCCCTCGCCTCCCTCTCCCGCTCCTCCCGCTCCCGTTGCTGCTGCTGCGCGACGGTGACCGGATGCGTGACCGCCGCACCTGTCCCCGGATGATGGTGGCCCACATGCGCCGTCATCCCGGAATGCGGCGCCGCGTGCGTTCTGCTTCCTGGCGGCGGCAGCGGGAGGAACGAGTTCCACGCCATCGAGGTCGACTGCATGTTTCTCTGCGGAGCATAGCACACCTACTTCAATAAAATACTGCCAACTATCGGCGCTCGTCGATACGAAGGGAAAGAGAATCGCTCGAAACGCGATACGCCTTCTATTTTCGCGTTTGGCGCCACGGTCGAGAAAGCGCGCATGCGTATACACGCGCAGCGAAGGGAAACGCGTAGGAAGAGAAAGCAGCCGGCCGGCCGGCCGGCCGGGCTTTTATATACTCTCCTTGCTGAAATCCGATTATTTTCATCCCGTTTGTTACGTTTCGCTCTGCAATAAGTTCTTCTGTACCCACGACGAGTATAATAATGTAATTAGTATATAACCAGAGGGGTTTTCTAACAACGATGTTTTCTATTCGAATTGGTAGAATTTCATTTCTATTGATAAATTCTTGATTCTTTCCAACACTTTGCATTCCCCGTTTCGAATTTCACCTCTCCTCGAGAGTTTTATCAACCGGCTCATTCTCGAAAATCGGGATATCGATTCTCTTTCTCTAGGAGTGTCTGTGTGTCAAGGTCGAGCGCTGTGTCGAGTCGCAGCGGATAAAATTCAACGAGGAGAGGGGGAGTCGGGCGAGTAGAGTGGAAGCGAGCGGGGAGGAGGAGGAGGGGGGAGAGGGTTTAAACAGCTTGTCAAGAACAGATCGCGAATCTAATTATAGCCTCATCCTAAGAAGAAGATTTACGATGCTAATCGAGCCGAGCGAGCACAAATAATGTCAACCCGTTGTTCGGTCTGTTTGCTCGTCGTCCATTCCTTTTTTCGTCGATCCTACGATTTGTTTGTATTCCCCTCCCCCCCCTCCCCCTCTCCCCTCTTAAACACACGATGGATTCCTTTCTCGAACCTTTATCGAGGTTGTTTTCATTGTTGAATTAGCGTCACTTGTATCGATTAAGGGCGGGAAAGGATTGAAAAGAAAATGGATACTCGCATTTTTTTCAAAGACTGGAACGAGGCTATGAGGTTATTTAAGCGATGGGATAGATAGAGTGAAGATATACCAATATTTTGAAAGTTTTTTTCTCGAAGAATGAGAGGAAAGGAAAGTGGATGTGATAGATGTTTTGAAGAAGAATTTGAAGTGCTCAGATGTCAAAAAGAATTGATACTTGGAACTTGGTTTATATATGCCGATTATAAAACTAAATTATATATATATATATATGTTATAAAATAAAATAAGTGATTATACTTTTGTTTTCTCAAAAATTACTGTCTCCATTTTCTAATTTGTTTTAATTTAGAAAGAGTTCACAAATTCTTAAAGATTTACAATAGTTATATCGTGTAGGTTTCACGCGAAATTTCTTAAAATTTTTTTAATTTACAGCTAATCTTCCAGGATCAATAGATTTCATAAATTATTAGATATTAAAGGAAATTGAGAAAAGAATATTTTAATTCGTACTATCGAATAATAGCGATTACCTTTAAGAAGAATTGCAAATCGTCACACGTACATACATACGTATTATACGTTGCCTGAATTTCACTCTTGTATTCCAAATGAGTTCATCAGAGAGTTCACACGAGATGCATTTTAATTATATTTCTTTTGCCTCAATTATCTATCTTGGTCAAATTCAATACGAATACGCGTATTCCCCAGCATACAAAATACAATCAGTGAAAAAGCACGTTTTCAGACAATTATAGTTGAATGACCACATTATGTATACTCCATTCGATAAAAGTAATCAAGTATTTATTTATGCCAAATTTACATTTAACGCGTGCACTCTTTTTCTCTTGCTCAACTCGACTGTAATTACGAATACAGATATAATTTTAAATTGTATTTAATTATATAGAGATTACAATTATCTCTTACGTTAATAAAAAAAAAAATATATCGTCACCAAGAATATTATAAATAAACATTACGAGAGATAAATAAAAAAAAATCGCATCCTTTTGTTTTTTTTGTAATATCTAATAATAATTCTACGTTCTCCTTCGAATTATCTGTATTATTCATGATTCGTGATGATCCGCAAATGTAAAACAGTCCGGTTGTACGTTAAACAGAGAAGCCGAGGACGAACCATCATCTTCGATGATATATTTCTCTTGCGGAACGTGTCCCAAGTCTTGACCCCCGAAGAATATGTATACATATATACATATATATCAGTCGAGATTGCGCTCGTGTTTTGTTCGCGTAGAGATGCATTATACGCGCGCTTTTTGTATTGCATTCCAGATAAAAGGTGCAGAGAGCGGGAGGAGGGCGAACAAAAGCTCGTAAAACGCTCGTTAAAAGCGCGAGACACGCGCGAGCTAACCGATAGAAAGAGAGAAAGAAAAAGAGGGCCGAATCTGAGCGATTGCGCTTAATAAAAGCCAGAACACGGCATTCAAGCTCAATCAGGGACTGGTTGTTATTGGTTCGTTGACTTTCTCTTCCTCGACTCTTAACCAGTGACGCTTAATCTGCTTTTTGTTCCCGACCCCGACGCTCTCCTCCTCGTATACGCGTTGCTGCGATTATGCTCATCCGGAAATGGGCACTTTTTTTTTTATATTTGGAATAAAAGTACGATAAATAACGAGAACGTGTACAATCGATTTGAATCTGAATTTTGATTCTACCAATTATCATTCTTTCTTTGTGGTATGAATTGAATAAGTTTTATTTTATTTAAATGATAATAAAGAATAAAGTTTTTGTAATAATTGTACACAGATTTGGTTTTTTGATCTGAAAATTGAGAAATTTAAAAAATGTTAAAAAGATATATATATATATATGTATATATATTCAGGCACAAGAAAAATAGATTTGGGAAATAAAAATTCTACTAGTAGAAAAAGAGTTATTGTATATGTAGAAAAAGTATTTTTGCAGTGAAAGTAAAAGAATGATTATTTAAGAAATATTTAAATATCAAATAATATTATTTAAAATAAAATAGTATAGCAAATAAAGTTGAACAATTAATTGAATTATGATACTTTTACATTAATAATTTACGATTCGAATGCCTATTGCTTTCCTCTATAATTCTGTTATTCATCGTATTTCAAATAATTACAGTTTAAACATCTAATGAATATTTTATCATTAATTGATATGTATGTATTCTGTAAGATGAAATCTTTAACACGTTGCAACTTTGTAAATATTTATAGAGAAAACTTATGAGATCATGTTTATTCTTATTAATTGTCATTTAGCAATTAATTTAATGTTGCAACAGAAATTTATTACACGTAACATATCACAAAGTGTATAATAATAAGATAAAGTTACCGTTTTAAAGAAAATATTTTAGACTTTAAATATTTCGAATTAGTGTGAGAAATACCAAATTGAAAATTTGAATCAATAATTCAAAAATTTCAAACTACATTATATCATTGTAACGCATAAATTCGATCGATTTATTACGAATTATTAAGCAATTCTATTTACTTGTAAGTAAAGAGTTAAAAACATGATTTCCTATTTCTATAAAAAACAATAATTTAGAAAAGACTTTAATATCGATCAATTAGTTTTCACTAATTCTACCAAATATCACTATTTTTATTTTTTTTAAATATAATATAATATAACATGTTACCATATGTCGATCATCCTTACTAATTTGCTTCTTTCTCGTCTGATCCACCTCTCATAACGCAACACTGTTTTTTGCCGATTACGCGATAATGGCGATGATGCACGAGAGGTGTTCGCTAAGAATCGACACTCTCTCGGCTCTACAACCGTCACGCTTTTTAAACGTGCACCAATTTGCCCATGGTTTCGCAACCGGCACGGATGTATCGCGCGAACTTCACGTCGTAACGAGCGGAACGATTCATAGCGTGCGTGCGAATCTTGGCCACGGTTTGAGTCATCGCGTGCCTTCTTCGTGAACGAATTACCGCTACTAATCATAGCTGGGCACTAATCCACTAACTAAAAAATAATTGGTTAAAATTTTAAACAAAGTTAATAACTTTATTTAATATGTTTGAATAACATTTATTCGTAGCTATTACAGTTGATCCGTTCTTAACCTTACTTTATATAACCTCATGGCATTACAGTTATATCTGGGGTTATTCGACGCTTTGAGTAAAAAATTATCGAAATAACTTATTGAATTAACTTTATTCTTAACTTCAACCGTTAAAATCTTGCCCATCTCAACTAATATCACTAATATCGATGAATATTATATCACAATAGAGAAACACCACACCGCCTGCCATATTTCGACTAATCGAACTGATTCTAGAGCGCCATCTTTGATCGATCAGTGGTCGATATATCTATCGATAAGTTGGTTGTTCTCTAACTGAACTTTGATAGCTAGAGAGTCTTCGTTCCTGGTATTCGAAGTCACGTTATTGATGTTCGATTGTTGAATCGAGGTTTCGAATTCCATCGATATGATGTAGACAAAACATCGTGCTATTTGAACCGTGACGAGATCGAGACGGTTAAATAATATCGGAATGGATGCATCAACGTGGGATATTCCACGCTGTAACACGCGACGAAAATAAACCATTAACGTCAGAGATGTGAAGAGACGTGTAATTAATTCTTTGAAAATTCCAATATTCAGTTTCATCATCCCATTTACAATTCATAATCCGTTAACTTATTGCAATTACGTGGTCAATTATTTTGCTTACATTCGAAAATTATATTTTATATTCCGTACGAGTTTGAACGAATTAAAAACCGGACCGGAAAAAGTGAAACTGTCTCTCATTTTGGACGAATAAAAATTTCAATGGAAACGTTGCTTCCATTAAATCAAATGATATATTACGCGGTTGCATGCTTCTTTGATGATACTTCAATATGATGATATATATTTAAACGACAATGAAGTATATTCGTTTTTCTCTCTTTTCTTTTCTTTTTTCTTTTTTTTTTTCTTTTTCCACAATTTTATCGTCCGCTTTATCGATTATCTCCCCCATCGCACGCTTCAAAATTGAGCTGGACGTTTTAATCGCCATGTGATCACCACACGCTCGCTTGAATTGAAATCGTGAGTCGTATGTACGC